GCAACTCGGTTTCCTCATCCAGGATGAAAAGGCAGACTAGCTGATCTTCCCCAGCTTTTTTGCTTTAAACTGACCTCAGACACTGCAGTTTTTTCTTTTCAAAGGGATTGAAAGGTGGAGTTGGGGGAGTTTATAGTCCTTGTTTGTCAGAATTTGATTTGAGTTCTTCTGGTTGCATATTTTGTGCTAAGAAAAAGGCCTATTCAGATGTCTGTTGCGAGCACTCAAAAACTTTATCCTCAGGACGTCTGCCTTTGGCTCAGGTCGTGATCCCAGGGTCCTGGGATGGAGCCCCGCATGGGGCTCTCTGCTCAGCAGGGAGCCTGCTTCCTCCTCTCTCTCTGCCTATCTGTGATCGCTGTCTGTCAAATAAATAAATAAAATCTTAAAAAAGGGCGCCTGGGTGGCTCAGTTGGTTAAGCAACTGCCTTCGGCTCAGATCATGGTCGCAGAGCCCTGGGATGGAGTCCCACATCGGGCTTCCAGCTCCATGGGGAGTCTGCTTCTCCCTCTGACCTCCCCTCTCATGCTCTCTCTCAATCTGTCTCTCTCTCAAAATAAATAAAAAATATTTTTTTAAAAATCTTAAAAAAAAAAACAACTTTATCCTCAGAGGTGCTAAAGGAGAAAGGATGTAGTGGGGGTCTGGGGCAGTGGGAAAGGCCCGACCCACCTTCTCAGGAGAGGGTCCGATTAGGCCTAGACAAAAAGCTCTGGCCTCCTGAGCCCTCTGCTCGCCAAGGCCTGGCTCATGCAGGAGGGCCGGGAGCCTCTCTTGTCAGGGGGAGTCTCACCCCCTCCCCCAGCTCTAGTCATCCCACCGGGCCCACAGCAGCAAACTTTCCCTTTCTTCAGCCCTCCCGCCCTATTAAGGTCTTAGCAGGACAGGCGGACTGAGGAAGGTGAAGCCCCCCTGAGCCATGCCGCCGTCTGCTCCTTCAGCGGGGTCGTCCGTGTGAGGGGCTTGTGCTGTGGAAGGCCTGCCTGTCTCTTCTGCTGTTGGAACTTCCTCAACACCGTACTGGCGACCAGGAAGAGAACGCAAAGGCAAAAGCTCCTTCAGTTTATAGCCCTCTTCCGTCACAGGAGAGGCTGTGGGTTTTCAGAGTCCTCAGCCTCCTAGTGAAGTGGAGGCGTCTGTGAGGGCGGCTTTCCCGCAGGCGTGATCCTCTCCTGGCCCCACGGTGCCCGTTGTGCCTGTGTTGCTCTGACCCTCCCGTTTCTCTCACGAAGCAAGTCCAGAATCATGTAATTTCTCTGCGGGAGTGTGTCATCCACTGATCTAACAAACAGTGCTGTGAGCTCTTGGCCAACAAAATGCAGGATAATGATCCTATAAGAGAGCCAAGAAGACACCTTCAGGCAGGGGTTCCCCAAGGTGGGCGGACATCAGATTCCCCGGGCGGGCGGGCCAAACTGTCATTCGGGGGGCCTGCCGGAGGGCTGAGAACCTGCATGTCTCCGGAGCGCCCAGGTGCTGCTACTGGTGCGGCGGCCGCACCCTGAGCAACACGGACTCCCGGCCTTGGCGCACTCTGGGCACTGTCGTCCAGGGAAGAGAGGGTTTGGGAGCTTGGAGGAAGGAGCAAATAGCTTGACTTGATTTAGTCCCCTTTCTTCCTTTCATTTCACCTCTTAAACTTCCCACCTCCAATCTTCTTGCCCTTTGCGAGGCCCGAACCCTGCACTGGAGGACCCTGTGGCATTCTGAGGGACCTCAGGGGCTGGAGCCTGTGTTAGGAGAGCCTGTTGGCTTCTGTCCCACTTGCTGCAGTGTTTTTGATTTCTTCCTCCTGCTCCAGGGGGCTCATGGCCCTCTCTCAGGTGGGTTTCCCGGAGCTGTAGGTGTGAGCTCAGTCTTCAGAGACTTGGAAGAGGTGCTTCCTTTCCAATTAGTCCCTGAGTGAGCGCAGCTCTAAGAGCAGTTTTCAGACTGTTCTCTGGAACCCTCGCAGACCTTCGGGGCTGTCGTGGGGGTTGAGGTTGTCCCTCGACCCCAACACCACTAAGTCGACTAAAATTTGCTATACTTTGGGATGCCTGGGTGGCTCAGTCGGTTAAGCATCTGCTTTAGGCTCAGGTCATGATCCCAGGGTGCTGGGATGGAGCCCCGCATAGGGCTCCCTGCCCAGTGGGAAGCCTGCTTCTCTCCCTGTCCCTCTGACGCTCCCCTCTGCTTGTGTGCATGCATGCGTGCGCGCTCTCTCTTGCTCTCTCTCAAAGAAATAAAATTTAAAAAAAAAAAATTAAAAAAGGATTCTGGGAAAAATCAGTTTGAAGAAAGGGTTCCACTGCTTTTATTTTGAACTTTAAAATCATTGTTCTGTCGAATTTGTTCTGGTTTGAGCCTCCTTTTGCCCTTTTGCTGTTTTTTTCATTTTTGTTTTAGTGTGACCAATACTGAACGGATTGGAAAATTTTAGATCTAGTTCCTGTGGATATTTCTTAAGCTCCTTTAATAAAACAGTGGCGCATCTTTAAACAACTTTGAGAACTTTCCACCAGGTACTGTTCCGCCCAACGAACAGTACTGCACACTAGCAGTACCAGCCCGTCCTGGGCTCTCACTAGTCAACCCTTGGAAACTTGTCATGAGAACTCCTCACTGCCGTCCTCACCCTCCTCCTGGCCGGCGCACTCCGCACTGCGCGTCTCCTGACATTTATGGTAACTCCAGACGCCTCCCGGGGAGAAGGGACAGGTGTGGAGAGGTAGGAGAGACCCGATGAAACGTGCGTTCACTCCCGTCTCTCTCACGCCTCCTCTTCCCTCACCCGACTTCTCCTGTTACTCAGCAGCTTTGGGTGTGGAAATGCCTGGGAATCATCAATCCCATCTGTCAAGGCTGAGATTGAAATCCCGACTCCACCCATCCCCATTACGTACCTCTTCCAGGTCAGAGATCTTGAGAGACCTCTCATTTAATTTTTTTAAAATTCTGAAGGAATGTGGATCAGATTCGAGCACCCCCAGCTTGGCCAGTTCCTGTGCGGCCACAGGATGAGGAAGTGCTGCTGCCATCAGGCTGCAGGCCCTGCCTCGTCCTGTCTGATGGCGGAGTCAGAGTCGTCTGCCGTCGCAGTAGGTGGGGCTGAGCAACGCGGGCTAAGACGTTTGTGCACTAGGTCCTGAGACAGTCTTCACTTTTTTTTTTTTTTTAAAGACTCAGAATGTCTTAAAATAGCATGGTAGCTGAAATAACAGTACCACTGACGACAGTAATAGCTCGCTGTTCCTGGGAGCGGTTGTTCGTTAAAATCCGAGGCCTGGGTTCTGACAGCAGTTGGTTTCCGCGAGCCGAGCTCCCTCAAGAGTCGCTCTAAGGGGAATCCTACCGTCTCGCCGTGACCGGAAACACAGGGGTCTGCGAAGCATTCTCCCAACCCCCCCCCCCCCCCCCCCCCCGTAAGGAATTTTCTGCCCGAAACTACGCAGCCTAGAACTGGAAATGGGTGGTGTAGACCTGACGGTTTGAAGAAGCTTGGGATGCTACTGTGTTCCTATTCGAAGAATAAGGAGGAGTCCTCCCTGTGGGCGAGGCTCTCCAGTCTAAGCTAACCGCAGTCTGCACTCCCCTCCCCAAGCCGAAGAGGACGTTGTAACTGCCTTGTTGAGAGAAGGATCCGGGGGCTCCGGGCAGCCACAGTGTAGCCCTCCACGCTGTTGGGACCCCCGAGTGGCCCTCTGAATGGACAGTCCTCCGGCAGCCTGTCGTCTTTTCCGTAGTTCTCGCCTTGCTGGCTCGCGTGGAAACCTCACCAGGTCCCTGTGCGCCCATAAGACCAGCTGCTTTCTGGGTGCTCCGCAGAGCAGTCCCCACGTCACGCTCGGGAACGTTTCCAGTTTCTAGCCCCTTTCCCATACTGGAAACCCTGCCCAGAGCCATAGTTTGGGGGGCGGGGGGTGGGGAGGCTGGGGAGGACGAGGGAGACCCGGAATGAGCAGGCCTGGGGTGGCTTCTTACACCGGCAGGAGTGAAATGACTCTTTCGACCTTGGGTCACGTGTACTCTAGACTTCTGGAAAGTCCTGAACGGCAGAGTCACTAATGGCTTTAGGACGGTCTCCTTTTCCCGACTCCTTCGCAGCCCGGGTAGCACGCTTGGCCGGCTCAGTTGCAGCTTTGTCAGGTGATAAAAGCGTGCTGAGATCACTGCTCCGGAGCCCAGACTGGTGACTATCGACTGAGATGATTTTTCTCTCCACTGAGACGCTCCCTCCCGTGTTTGCTGTTACTTTAATGGATCGCTTCCTGATCCATTCGCAGCCCCGGGCACTTGCCCTTCAGTCTGGGAAACTGCAGCTTGACCTGAATGGAATCCGATTCGGACCAGTCTGTTGGCCACACGACTGGCTTTCTTCCCCCTAGAAAATAAGTCAGTGCAAGCAGCTGCTGCGAATGTTCTAGTTGGCATCTGCGTGGAGTTTGACTTTAATCAGGATACTCCAGGCTGTGTCACTTCCATTCTCGGCATTTTTGACATCTTCAATGCCCCGCGGGCACAGCGGCCGCCCCGTGCTGGGGGGGAGGGGGGGCTTGGTGTGTTTGTCGGTAGGGATGACACTGATAAACAGGTCCTGCCGTGGCCCGGCTATGTCCTCCCGAAGGCTCTGCAGTGGGTTTTCACGGGATGTGTCCTGCCGGTTCTCCTTCTTCTTCTGTCCCTCAGTGGGCCACTTGTGCGGTTTGGGGCAGGAAATCCCCACTGTTCCCGTGGTCCCCCAGCTACGGTTGGAAGGACATCAGAGCGTCCCGGCAGAGCCCAGGCCCGAGATCCCAGCAGGCCCGACAGGGAGCAGATGCTGCTGCTTTTTTTCCCCACTTTGTATTCCCCGGTCCCTTGCTTGGCGTTCGGGGACCGGAAGCCACAGGTTACGGAAAGCATGCGAGTGATGTGACCTCTGGCTCTGCGGGGGGCTCGGGGTCGTTCGGTGTTTTGTTTCTGATTTGAAAGCCGCTGTTTGGTGACCGCTAACTCTTCCCTTATTCTTTTCTTGCAGATGAGCTCACAGTGCCTGCACTTTACCCCAGTAGCCCCGAAGTGTGGGCCCCGTACCCTCTGTACCCAGCGGAGTTAGCGCCTGCTCTTCCTCCTCCTGCTCTCACCTACCCCGCTTCACTGCATGCCCAGGTAATTGACGCCGTCGGCCACGACGCCGCTCACTCCGCCCCCGGTCCTCTCCGGCCCGGCTCCCCGGAGCACACCGTACAACTAACACCTGTCCGGCTAACAGACCCCCTTCCGGAGATTAATGATCCCCCTCTAAATCAAGCTGACACTCCTCCGGGACCCGAGGGCCGTCTGCCAGCAATGATATCACCCACTGCCTGATGTTCACCCCAAAGGACACCTCTCTCTTCCCTCATGATCTCACCCTCATAGCACACACGAGAGACGGGGCGCAGGTCCCACCCCCACCCCCAAGCCCCCAGCCAGCCCAAAGGCGTCCCCAGAACGTAGTCGCGCCTGCCTGGTTGTGCAGAAGGGGTTGCCAAGGGAGGCGAGTTGCTTGCCGGAGTCTGTCCGTGTGTGTGTGTGTGCAGAGATCTCTGCTCCCGTGTCCTAGGAGAGCTAGCGGCCAGAGGGGAAAGGTGGAAGCTTCCAGGAGGACCGTGTGCTAGCTTGCAGATGTTACAGGAAGGGTGAAGGGTTCCTTTTTTCCACCTTTAGAAAAGGAGGTACAGTGTAGTGTGGAGAACGTAATTCCAGGTCAAGGCGAAGGTCTCTCTTTGGACCCACTTCCCTTCTTAGTTAAATAAACGTCCTCGTTTCTTCACAAAGATTACTACGTACGTACCAACCGTCCCTCTCCCCTTGAAAACAAATGTGGCTGTCACTTTTGCTCTTAGCGCAGGCAGTAGTAATGAAGTAAGGTGAGGATTCGGGGTGACGGCAGGCAGCGCCTAAGAGAACACGTAGATGGCATTCGTTTTAGCGCACGTGTAACTCCTCTAGAAGCAGGGGCGCCTGGTTTCGGAAACACTGTTGGCCTGGACAGACAGGTGGGGTGTTTGTTTGTTTCACTTAGTGTTTATTTACAAGGGTGGACGAAATACACAGCTTCCCAGAGAACTTCTCCTTCTGACCGAGAACTCTTCCATGTTGCACGGAGCCCACGGTGTTGTCTAAAGCACGGACAGACAGCCCCTAGCTTCTGTCCTCGCGGCGGCGGGGTCGGGCCTGGTGCTGGCTGCGTAGACGTCCGGCCGTCTGGGCCAAGCTCTCGGGGCTGTGTGCACATGCGCATGGCCCAGCCTCCCAGGCACCATGCGGGCAAACTACAAAGACAGCGCCTTGGTGCCTGGGCCCCCCGAAGTGGTGACCCTCGGTGTTGGCAGAAGGAGGTAGAAAGCTGTGCCAGGAGCGAGGGAAAGGTAGATGGTAGTGGTGAGAGCAGCTAGCAGCCCTGGGATTCGGAGCTGGAGGGCCCAGGGTCCAAATCAGCTGTGCTTTCCGCTTTCCCTTCCCTTCCCCTTGCTGCTGCTTCCCCCTCAGTCCTCATCAGCACTCGGTCTCCTCACAGGGCAGGGGAGGGAGAGGGGATAAAACACAACCTGTGGCTATCTTCTGCTGAGTCGTCTAAATGTTTGCAGTGGCCTTGGGGAGAACTTTGTAGATGATGGGGAGTGACTCAGAGAGGCCTCCTCTGATTGTGGGTCTGCCCCCACCGTCGGCGGATATGTCTTCGCTGCTCTTCCTAGACTGCCTAAGTGTAGATAAACTGACAGTTGAGGTGAATGTTCCTAATGCCATGGAAAGTGCCACGTGTGCAGAGTACTCTGAGTATCCGTGGCTTTGTTAATCGGCCGCAGAGCCTTGCACCATTGCCCTGGGAAAGCCAGAATGGACAGTGGCCAGAAAAGACTGGGAATGATGGCTCTGGGGCCTTACTAACATCCGGGTAACTTGCGCAGTCTTCATGTAACGGATGTGATCCAGAGTATATCTGGGGGTGTGTGGGAGAAGGAACTGAAGAGTTTTAAGAGATTAGAAAGCCCATGCCCATCGTGAGAGAGGTTAGAGTAGTGCCAAGATTAGATGGACTCAACCATTTGACCTAGTGGGATGTGCTGCCCGTGGCGGCACCCTCCCCTGGGAGCTCTTCCTTGATCCTGAGACTTTCCCAACCTGGAATCCACTTGACTCCGCCACGTCGGTCCTCAAGTTGGTGGAACTTTCATCTGAAATCAGTGAGATCCTTGTGCTCAACCCCAGAACTTGTTCGGAGTCATTCTCAGTGCAAGCTTGGGTTCTGTGTCCTAAAGGCCCATGAACAGATACAGTTATTTAAATGTCTTTGTCCAAGATGAGAATCCTAGAATGAACTGGTAGAGGCTTTACCGCTCCAGCAGGTCTGGCCCATTTTACAGTTGAGGAGAGAGACTGGAGAAGATGGAGAGTTCTTGAAAGTCGCAAGTGGCTCTGCCATGACCGGAGCCAGGTCACCTGACTCCCAGGCCTTGCTCTTTTCACGCCTCAGTGCTGGCTCACCAAAGACTTACTCTCTGTTGGAATTTTGGAAAGGCCTCACTCCACTGACTCCCTGGATCTTTCTTCTCTAAGTAGATGAGAAGCCGGTAAGAAGAGACGTGGAGGCAAAGACAAGGGAATCAGAACTTAACCTTCACCCAAAGGGCCCGAGAGAAATTCTTATAACTGGAGGTAGAGCAGTGGGGAAGACAAAAATGAAGCGTTCCCTTAGTGGATGATTCCAGTTCTGTTTGGAGATCTTACTGTATGTCTTTGGAGAAGCTTTGATATTATTTTGCTTTTCTTAGCAATGTTGTGCTCTGTTTTGAGACTTGGATTTTTTTTTTCTTCTAGTGTTTCTCTCCTGAGGCAAAGCCCAACACACCTGTCTTTTGTCCACTTCTCCAGCAAATTAGATTTGTCTCTGGGAATGTGTTTGTAACATACCAGCCTACTGCAGACCAGCAGAGGGAGCTCCCATGCTGAATTTGCTTGTTAGCTATTCCCCCCCTCCCCCGTTTTGCAAAAATTATTTCTTGGTAACATTTGAGAGATTTCAATAAAAATTTTAATCAGAGCAAAAATGATCTCAAGCAGACTTCAGCGTTTTGTTTTCATGGTGATGCGAGTTTGGAGCTAAGAGGTTATCTCTGACTGAGATCGTGGCGGAATCGGCCCGTGACACTGAGCACACACCACGTGGGAGAAGGCCTCAGAGCATCAGGGCCTCACTCAGTGCTGCTTCTGGTCTCTTCTTGGGCTCCCGAGCCATCAAGAGCTGCATGTTGGGAGATTCTCTGCCTCGCGTCCGTGGCTTGGCTCTGCCAGGAGGTCTTGCTTCAGCAGGGATCGTGTGTCTGGCTATCGGAAGCCTGTTGGAATCGAAGAAGTGTGTTCTCTGGTCTGTCCACCCTGATCCAGAGGAAGGAGGACCCAAGGGGCAGGAACTGTCATTGACGTTCAGGAGTCACATCTTCTGGTTCTGCGCCGGCTGCCGTCTGTGCTCTGGCATCTCCATCTTTAGAGTGAAGATGCCTGCTTAATGTCCCATCCCCGTTTTGAGGCGTCACCGCGTAAGGTAATGGGACTGTGGGCTGCGGTCCTGCCGCGTCCTCAGTGGAGGTGAAGAACATCTTGATGCAGCAAACAACGGAGTTCTAAGAAGATCGTTGACATTTGTAGACATGATCTTCCTGTTTGTTTTCAAGGTCACTGGTGTTTGAAATTTATTAAATATATTCTGAAAGTCACTGCGAACAGGAGGGCAGGTTTCGTCCACGGCTTTTAGGAAAGTTCTGCCCTCAAGCCCATACTGCACCTCCACCGTGTCGCCCTCACACAGCTCAGCCTTTTCCGTCCCCGGGGTGTTTCGCTCGGTGCCGTCATTCCGTCTTGTTGCTGACGGGGCAGAGAGAAAGCCAACAAAGTGCACTGTTCTCATTACATTCTAGATACAGAATAGTGTTTACCCTGACCAGAGCCACCTTGTTGGGCCAGAAGCTCGTCCAGGTAAGTAGGACTGAGAGAGCAACTCCCAGGTACCTGCTCCTCCTCCAGAGGCCTCACTGGTCCTGAGTCGCGGCAGATCTCCAGGCCTGCTCCGTGGCTCACGGCTGGAACCCGTCACCTGCTCATCCGCAGAAGGTTCTAAAATCGGAGCACAGACTTCCCAGGGCGGGACGTGCCCCTTGGGAGGTGCCTTGTGACACACTGGACAAATTATAAAGGTTAAACCCAAACTCAGTACAAAAATGGACCATAGGAAAAGTGACCCAGACACACAGGGAAGGAAGAGAGATCACAGGGGGAGAGAAAGGCCAGGGGAAGTGTGTGGCCGCCCGCCTGCCAGAGCCAGGCGTTTTCTCAGCAAGAGGCAACTGCGAACTGAACCATTACACTTTTTTATAAAAACGAATTTCAGGAAGCGTCTCCTCTGTCACTGACTATGTCCTGTGGAGAATACTGAGATGAGACACAGGAGATCTGGTTTGGCACGGGGTGTCACTCAAGCGCACGGCCCAGGGAGGCCCAAGAGAGGCAGGGAGCAGGCCAGGTGGGAGTGTGGCCTTGGGGGAGCCTCCAGAGGGCGGGAACCTGAGGCCGCTTCACGTTTTAGCAGTGCTGTAGGGTGGCTGGTCCTACAGCGGGAGCCGTGACCAAGGCCCATGGGTGGGGCGTCGGCACCCCAGCGGCTGGCATCTCTCAAAGGGAAGGGAAGAATTGGGAGATTCAGGGTGTTGGCCTCCTGGCCTGCGGGACGGCACCAGCTCCTACCACCTGAGACCTGGTCCTCCAGGCCTGGCCTTCTCCAGCGGCCGCGGGCTCCCTGCAGCCCGGGGCTTGTGATTATCTGGGAGAGCAGAGCTTTGAGGGGCTGCCGAGGTTGCCTTTGGGGGCTGATCAGCCCAAGGCTTTAAATTGTTTTTAGACATCAATGAAACTGTGGATCCTCTGATAATGTGCCTTTCCCTTTAAACCTTCCACTCTGTGAAGGTCAGTCAGTGAAGGGGACCTGCCCCTGGGTGCTCTCTCTCCTGAATGTGCTAGCCTCGTCTAGCTCCTGATTTTGTTCAGCTTTCTGGTCTAGGAGCCTCTGGCTTACCTCCCACACGAGGCCAGGCTGGGGCAGGCCGGCCAGGCATTGTGTTCCCAGCGCCGGC